CTCACAACAGCCCTAGGCAGTGGCTGCTGTTATTATTGTCATTTTACAGATGAGGAAACTGAGGCACCCAACCACTGCCGTCTAGTCTTTTCCGACTGACTGAGACCCTATAGGACAGAGTAGAACTGCACCATAGGGTTCCCAAGGAGAGGCTGGTAGATTTGAACTGCTGACCTTTTGGTTAGCAGAGCTGATCTCTTAACCACTGCAAAACTGAGGCACAGGGAGATGCAAGTAACACATCTAGTAGGTGGTAGCCAGGGGATTTCACTCCCATGGCCTCAGGGATTGGTTCAGGGTGAGCAGGAAATCCAAGCCACACCTGGCAGTGTCTTCCCCTGGGACTCTCCTGTCAGAGTCAAATGGGAACAAGGTTCTCCCTTTTTCTAGGAAGGTGGCTGAGCCTGCCTGAGGAAGGAGCCAGCACAGGGGAGCAGAGCTGGAAGGACGGACAGAGCCCTGAGGACGTGGTGGAGCCCTGGATCCAGCTATGTTTGCACTTGTCAGTTACGTGAGTTGGCTAATCCCTTTACTGAGTCTAGTTTGAGTTTGCTTTCTGTCCCTTCCACATGATTGTTCCAACACAATACTCCGTTCACCTGTGTAGCCTCAGCACCTAGCAGTGCCTGGCACATACTGGATATTAAAAAAATATTGTTGAGAGCATGAACGAGCACATGTTCGGGTCCACCTTGGCAGCTTTATCTCCCTCTGCTCTGGGTTCCAGTCATGTTGAACTGCTTGACCCGCTCTTCTCCAAAACCACCCACGGCACCTGCATCAGCTTTTGCTCTTATTGCCTCTATCAGGGGGATTGCCTTAGTCATCTAGTGCTGCTATAACAGAAATACCACAAGCGGATGGCTTTAACAAACTGAAATTTATTCTCTCACAGTCTAGTAGGCTACAAGTCCAAATTCAGGGCATCATCTCCAGGGGAAGGCTTTCTCTGTCAGGTCTGGAGGAAGATCCTTGTCGTCAGTGTTCCCCTGCACTAGGAGCTTCTCCGCGCAGGAACCCCAGGTCCAAAGGACACGCTTTTTTCCCGGCGCTGCTTTCTTGGTTGTATGAGGTTCCCATGTCTCTCTGCTTGCTTCTCTTTTTTATATCTCAAAAGAGATTGGCTTAAGACAGTATCTAATCTTGTAGATTTCATCAATATAACTGCCACGAATCCATTTTATTACATTATAGTGATAGAATTTACAACACATAGGGAAATCACCTCAGATTACAAAATGGTAGACAATCATACAATACTGGGAATCATGACCTAGCCAAGTTGACGGATATTTTTGGGGGACACAATTCAATCCATGACAGGGATACCGTCTCTCTTCCCTTTTAAGATCTGACTCAATTGCTTCTCCAGAGGCCTCTGATTACTGGGATTAGAAGTGACCATCTTGCTCCTCTGAATTCTCAACACTCTTGAAACTTTATGAGCTGTATCAGTTTCCTTAAAAGGACAGAAATTTATTATCTCAGTTCTGGAGTTTAGGAATCCAAATTCAGGTTATCCGCAGGGCCACAATCTCTCCAAGGGCTCTAGAGGAAGACCCTTTCTTGTCTCTCCAGCTTCTGGTAGCCCCAGGCATTCCTTGACATACACCGTCACATGATGTTCTTCCATCTGTGTCTCTCTGTGTCTGTGTCTCTTCTCCTCTTTTATAAGGACATCACCCTACTCCAGGACTAGCTCATGTTCATTACATCTGCAAAGACCCTGTTTCCAAACAAGGTCACAATCACAGGTGCTGAGGGTTAGGGCTTCAGCATATCTTTTGGGAGGATACAATTCAATCCATAACATGGGCCCATTTGGTCTTTGCTTTCACTACATGGGGAGAGTTCCCATTTCATACACTGAAAAGGGGCAGCTCCTCGAGGGAAAGGGTTAGACACTTGGTTCACTTTTGTACCCCTCTCGGGGGCTGGCGTCATAACTTTTTCACATGTGCCATCTGCAAGGCAGGTAAGGCCAAGCAAGTGACATCAGCACCTGATGCAGGCCAGGTAGGCAGGGGTGGATCCCTGAGCATGTGCTCCTTTGAAAGTAGGCAGCTCAGTTTCTTGTTGCCCTGAAGAAATGAGGGCCCTCGATTTTACAAGAGAAACAGAAATCTGGATTTGTATGTAAAATCTCCTGATTAAAAAAATAATAATTTATTTTATTTTTGTTGTTGAAAGTATAGACAGCAGAACATACACCAATTCAACTGTTTCTACATGTACAATTCAGTGACATTGATTGCATTCTTCAAATTGTGCAACCATTCTCACCCACCTTTTCTGAATTGTTCCTCCACCATTAACATAAACTCACTGGCCCCTAAGCTTCCCATTTAACCTTTCAAGTTACTGTTATCAATTCTATCCCATATAAATACTTCTTTATAAGAGCACAGTGCTCAAGGCAGACGTTCTTTACTAAATAAGGTAAACTTTGGTTTAAAGAAGACTTCAGGGGATACTGCGGTTTAAGGTTTAAGGTTTAAAGATTATCTCAGGACAATAGTTTCAGGGGTTCATCCAGCCTCAATAACTCCAGGAAGCCTAGATTCCAAGAAAATCTCCTTATTTTTATTTATTCATTTATTTCAAAATTGTTAACATTCTGGTATACTTATTTTTGGTCCATTTTCAATACACATACTTGTTCACTGCTGTATCTCCAGTTCTTAGAATGGGTCTCAGATGGTCCTGATTTTTAAATGTTAGCAATTAATCCACAATTTGAGAAATACTATGTAGGAAAAGAAAGCCACTAGTGGATCCTGTTTGGAAATAGTTTTTGTTTTGTTGTGCTAATAAAGTCATACCAGAGTACAGTGGGTCCTAAACCTAATCCCTTCTGAGTTATAAAAACAACAGAATAGACACACAGACACCAACAGGGGGAGATGTCATTGAAGACAAACATAAGGCAGTTGCAATTGCCAGGAATTTATGCTGGATTCAGAAGAGGACATGGAATGAGGGATA